TATATCCATATGTGTCGATTCCGGAAAACCTCTGCGTCGGAGATCATTCGGAAGTCACGGGACTGCCACTTTTTTGTGGCATGACTAATCTACCTTGATTATAGCATTAAATTATTGGTACAAATTTTGACATTACAGTTAGACTGCAATATATAATTTTTATCCTTACTGTTAGAATGTAAATATAGTCTGATTTTGCAGTACGGTTAGATTATATATTGAAATTTGTCTAACTAATATACAATATTGCAATTTGACAAGTTAAACGAAGGCTAAAAACTTTATGTCATTGATCTTGTTTATTTTGATAATGTGATAGCAATTCCCCACAAATGCTTCGATGCTTGACATTAGTTTCAAATGTCAAAATTCAGGCATAGTTTATATTTAGAGGTTTCGAGATCTTTATTTAGACGCACATGGGGTGACCCCTAGTTTATATTTAGATGGTTGCAGACATTTTCTCTACATTAACGATGGAAAACATCAAGCAAGCTATCGTATTGATTAAACGCAATTTATTGTATATGTTAAATGTTGCGAATAAAAACTTGAAACTTTGCGTTTGGGAAAAAAATAATAAAGAACTGAAAGATAGAGCATTGTTGACTTATAAGTTTAATAATTAGAGGATTTGTAAAGACTTATAGGTGGGAGTTGTGTGTGGTCCAAAACTGAGACAATGTCAGTTTGGAGTCGTCTCAGTCCAGAACTGAGACAAGTCCCGAACACTATCACTTCATCGAACAGCTGCTTTAGTATGGAACTGAACATATCACTATTTTTTCGAAAAATACAATCAATTAGCTTCACAACGGTACCTAAACCATTGTGATTCACATAGTAAATACGTACAATCGAGATTTTAGAAAAAAAAATAATTTTTTTAATATGTTTTACTAGTGAGTGACGAATACTTTTGATCACCCACTGTATGTACAGTACTTGTTTTAATAAGAAATTTTACATTTTATTTTCCTTCTATTAGGCCCATTATAGAAAATTATTATGTGAAGATAGAATTCGAGCGTTTGATGAATACCAAGAACTTGGTGTGGATATTCCCAAACTAAATGTTTTAAATGCAATTAACTGGACCGCGCAAGCGTGGGATAATGTCACTGACGACGCAATATATCGCTGTTGGCAAAGAACGGGTATTTTGCCCGATGAAGAAATGTACGAATTAGAAAATGAATTGGAATCTGAAGAAAATGCAGTTCAATTACTTATCAACCAAATGAATGTTAACAATATCGTAGCAAGCGATTATATTAATATTGATGCCAGAATAGAAGGCACCGAAATGATTGATGAAGAGAAAATAATCGCAGCAGTACAAGAAGCATTAGAAGAAGAAGAAGAAATCATAAGCAATTCAATATCAAATATGGATGCTTTGAATAGCATTCAAAATATATTCAATTATTTACAACATAGTTTTGATATAAAAACAAATGCATCGGTAATCTCGGGAATGAAAGACCTTCAGTGCCAAATTCGAATTGCTTCTCTAAAACAGCCTACCTTAGAAACTTTTATAAAAATTGAATTATCTATTATATTTAAATTTGTATTAGCTCATAACATGCAAATAAAAAGTACGTTTATTGTTATTATTATGATAATGTCGGATATCTCGTTAGGTCGGATACCTCGTTAGGAGTCCGCCCCGAACGAGTCCGACTTATCGAGTTTGCCTATGTATGTCGATTATTTGCTTCATTTGGTTAGTCACATTCTCGAAGTCAGGAAATAAATAAAAGACAGCAATTTCAAAAATCAAATTGCCAATTGTCGGTCTTATTAGTGTTAAACCATTTCATCGAAGAAATTTTTCTGACTGAAAATGTTTTACAACAGACACAAACAGATATGGAAGAAAATTTAAATGAAGGGGATATCCATAAAGGTAGGAAAAGAAGCGACGTTCAAGGAATTTTTAGAACAAAGAGAATTTGCAACAGAAAATGATATTAGATACATGCGCAATATAATTCAGCCTTAGATGAATCAGTAGAAAGGTCGAAACATCAAACGTCACTGATAGAATTTATTAACCAATAAAATTGCATGATATTATCTATCGAAACGCCATACCTTAGTTATATCCCACCTCAGGTATATCCCCAAAAAGGCCCAGGTTTCGTTTTAATCTGCCACAGTAAATGACTCGGATTCACGTGATTTGTATAAATTTTTTACCAATTTAGTAGCGGATTATCCAATCGTCATTATTTCATTTAGCTTAAAAGTCATGTTACTCACCCTTACAATTTTGCTACTTTAACAAATATTTATATCATTGATGATTTGCTATTTCATTTGATAATTTAGAAGGACGTCTTGTAAAGTAAACGAAAAAATTATACGTCATAGGATATTCATTGATGATAAATCGTTGTCAATTTGTTGATTTAAATTGGAAAATCAGTAGAAAACAAGTTACTTCATTAAAACAAACTAGCATGGACATTTAAGCGGGTTTTCATTCTTTATTGGTTATTTATTAAGTAAAAAATCTAAATATAATCCAAAAGCGATAACATGAAAGGAAATTGTGTTACGATGAGCCTCTCGATAACTCGGATTCATCGATAAGTCGGACATCCGACTTATCGAGTTTCACTGTGTATGCTATATTTATGTATACATAACTATAATTAATTTTTCACCGAGTTGATCACATGTACCGCAGGCTACTTTGCCGTCTTTGTCGTCTTTGCAAGAGTTTGTAATTTATTTAACTCTACTATTGTTTGGGAAAACTCCCCAGCCCCAATTATCTTATCTTTGAAGATTTTAGACTTCTTAGAAAGTATGTTTGTCATCCGCCCTACACGTTCTACGAGA